TCTGTTGTGTAATATTACGGCTCCCCGGTGATAATTTACGTGCTGAGGTATTTTTTTATTTTTTGAAAAATCGGGATATTTTTTTATATATGGCAAAAGTTGGTGCATTTTTTTTATTCTCCCTAAAAAAATAAAAGAATGAGAACTCTAAATCGAGATCTATACATATATAATTTCTATCTTTTTTACTTCATTTTTAATATAAAGAGCTTCAATTAGAATAGTGGCAACCCTTGATATTTCATAGTTACCTAGAGAAGAAAAGTACTCTCTATACTTTTTACACAGCAGTCTCGGGCAATTGTTGAAAACGAGGCTCCTCGACCTCGTCTTGCTTGTCCTTGGGCGGGATACTGATCACGCGCTTTCCGCACACCGAGTAGTGATAACCCGGATCGAAACGGTCCTTAACATTCGTTCGTACGAGGAAAAGCACCGCAAAACCAATGCACACGACAATAAAGATGACATGCATATTGTCAATATACGCCTCCCCAGCACTAGTACCACCGGCAATCTGGTCATTGTACGCATTGTTAAAGGTGATACCGCCAATAACAGAAGCGGCAGCAATGGACGTGAGAATAATGCCGTGTAGAGGGCCTACGTTATAGGCTCCGAACATGTCGGTGACAAAAGCTGGGATCGTGCCAAGACCACCACCGTAACAGCCCGTAAGTACGAATATTTCCACAGCGAAGACTGTAAATTTTTCGTGACGTATGATCGTAGGCAACGATCCAATTACAACAATCTGTGCACCCAGGGTGAGGTAAAACACAAGTTTGCGCGCATATGTCTTCTCCACTCTGGAGTAGCGAACCAAAAGATCTGACACGCCTGAGAATGCAAGACGACCGCAGCAGTTGAACACATTATTGACAGAAACTGCGTCAGAGGCCGTGTTTGCGCTTTTGTCAAATATATCAGTGCACATACTGGACAAGCGGGAGAGCACGATGACGCCAAAGACTTGATTAGCAAAAAACATGATGTACATGAAAATAAATTCCGTATTGAAGATGGCTGTTTTGAGCGTGAACGAATTGGTAGAAGGCTTGGGGGTATACATCATCTCAGGCCGGTCTGCGCTGGTCGGAGTCTGAACGGCCTTGTAACTCGTGCTCATTTTGTCTTCCATCTCATCACTCTCGTTGACAGCGTTTCCTTCGACGTTGAGGCCGTGAACTGTGAAGTCAGGGGGCGGCACACGAAGCACCAGGGCACAAGCGAACATGGCAGCACTCATGACGGTTCCAAGCAAGACGAACATCCACGAGAGACCAACAGCGTTAATTGTTGGCAGATACACCTTGCTCCAAACAGCCGATCCCGCTCCAAGGCCAGCAACAGCAAAACCGGCGGCAGTACCGCGGTAATCAGGAAACCACTTCTGCAGTGTTGACACAGGCGAAACATAGCACATCCCCACACCAATGGCACTAATTATGCCGTAGCCGATGTATACACTGGCAATGGACTTGTAGTGGATCCCGAGGGCTGTGACAACGTGACCAATCATAAACAAGGTCGAACCCATTAACACTGACCACCTTGGCCCCCTTCGCTCGATAGTCGGTCCCAGAATTGCTGCTGCGGTTCCAACAACACCCATGGTGATGTAGAAGGTATTGACAGCTCGACCTTTCCTCGAATCTCCATATATCGCTTGGTCAATAGGATGGTTGAGCACTGACCAAGCATAGATGCAGCCAAGGCAGAATTGCACCACAAATGCGGCGGTAAAAAGGTACCAACGCGAAAATGAAAGTCCGAGCATTGGGTGGGAAACTTCGGCTTTAGGCGGCCAATTCTGATTTGAGAGGCTTAAAAGAATTGGACATCGACTTAGAAAGCCAGCGAAGCACTCGTCTACTCTTGGGGTACGTAAGTGGAGTCAACTGAAGACGAGCCAACATCCAGGGTAACCATGTGCAAGCACGCGCAATATGTATGTCGCATCAAATCTCGCCAAAAACGAGTTTGGTATTTTCATGGAGCGGTTTGCTAGTGCTTACCTCCTACGAAGGATGTCAGGGAAATGTGCTACGCGGCCGGGTAGTTTACCTTAATTCCTGACATTTCCACCTGCCACTTCTACATTAAGATTCTCAAATTGATAGGAAATTTGATACCATCCTGCACACTGGATCCGATGGGTAATCACATTTTTCAAACCAAAGTTTTATACTGTACGAATGCACATCACTATGTTGTACTGTACGAGTTCACACGACTCCATGTATGTATTTACCATCTTGCTAGTATTGTCGTATTTTACACGCAAGTCTTTGGTTATTGTTTTAACAGTTTGGTGTATACGTTGTTATTTTCGTACATACGCGAGTTGATAGAGACAAAAATAAAAATTGAGTGTTTCCATTTGTGGATGCTGGTGAGCAAACCTAAGGAGTTTGAAAAAGAGATTATAACATTTCAAAGTCAGGTTTTATACACAGGTGACGGTCACATAAAAGTTGGACGGTCCAAACTAGATAAGGAACTACATTGATTGCAAAGTCAAGCAAATTTTCGCATGTAGTTTAGTACCTAGAGCGGAGCACCGTTTACAGCCATCGACATAAATTAGCCTTCACCCCAAACCCTCCTGCACAATCGGAACCGTTTACCACAATCAATTATCAATGCTTAAAAATGCATCATTTTGTAGAAGTATGCACCCATGAGCCTGTTGCCGAATACAACGATGCTACGAGAAGGCAAGACGCGGAGAGCAACGACGCAACGGCCGTACACTTTACCCAGAGAAGCTTTGATTAAAAGAGTTCGCGTTTGCACACGCATAGAGGTCAATCTTCAGAAGCAAAATCGAAAGCCTTAAAGGTAATCAAGCCATCAGATTGCTCCGCAATCACAAACGTGATATATATACACTTTACGCTACAAAGGGGTTGCCGTGCACTTTGCACAGAGAAAGCTCCGGCTTAAAGAGTCCACATTAATAAACGCAGAGTGATTGGGCACATGTGCTCCAAACAGAAGCAGAAAGTCTCTAATGTAATTAGCTATCTAGCTTGCTCTATGCACTGTCATGTCATTTCAAAGGTACATATTAAATTGGTCGATCTAATCAAAGCAATACGAATCGGGGACTATTTAGCTGTTATTTAGAACAAAATCCTGTTTTTTCTTTGATGTACCGCATGCATCACGGACCTTTCATTGACGGTGTAGCGGGGCTGCGGTAGTTTTGCGCTTAGAGGAAGCGTAAGTTAGGTCGCCGCCCTTTCGTTCTTACGTTCGAACGTTCGTTCTATACTTAGAACAAGTACGAGTTTAGCGGATCGCAATGTAGCGGGGCTGCCGTAGCTTAGCGCTTGAGGAAGCGTACTTTAGGTCACCGGCCTTTCGTTCTTTACAAGAACCAAGTATGAGTTAGCGGATCGCAATCCGCTTACTTCAAGAATAATTATTGCCTTCCCAAGGCAAATCGACTTTTCGGTTTAAAATCCAGAACTGAATTTTATTTATTTTTTTATCCTAATCCTAAAAGTTTAGAATTTCCTAAATATACTAAATATATATAGTAAAATCTCAATACATGCATAACTACTGGCGACCC